TATTATTTTTAAATAAAATAATTTATTTTATAAATAAATTGTATTAGATTAAAAAAAATAAAAAAAATTTAAAAAAGCATTATTAAAGAAAAATTTGTAAAAAAATTCTCATACAATATAGTTTTTTGTATTTAATATATAATGATAGATATATAAAATAGATTTTTATATTTACGTTGTATAATTTATATTATGATACATTTTTTTTATCATTGATAAATTATTTTAAATTTATAAATAATTAATTTTAAATAAATAGGATAAATAAAATTTGAAAAAGATTAGAGGTTAGAAGAAGTTCTAAAAACTCTTTCGTTAAATATAATTTTTTTAAAATGCATTTTCTTATAAGTTGTTTCTAATATAAGAGTTTATTTATATTAAAAATTTATTCAGAAATAAGTATAATAAATTAAATTAAAAATAAATAAGAGATTTAAAAAATACCTAAAAACTATCTCATTGAAAATAAACTTTTAAAAATGCTCCTGCCGAAAAAACACATATATAGGGATTGATAAAAAAAAAATCTCTAAAAACATTTTTTATTGAAAAAAATTTCCTAAAAATGTTTCTGGACAAGATAATTATTCGTATTTATGTTATATGACTTATATTGTGATACAAAATTATGTTTAATTATTGATAATTTATTTTTAATGTTATGAAAATTGATGTATCGAGAAATATGATAAATAAAAATTGAAAAAAATTATAGAACTTTGAAGAATTTCTAAAAATCCTCTTGATAAAAAAAAAGTTATTAAAAATGCATTGGCTCTCTCTCTCCCTCTATGTAACATTGAGCTTTGAAAGGGGGGGTTCTAGTTGTTGAGAGCATCAGAATTGGGCCTTCTTCTAAGTTTTTCCCTTTCTTCATTTAGATTCTTAAGAGTTATAGAGAGGGTAGGTTGGTGGCAAATAGTTTTGAAGGTGTTTAGGGATCAAAAGATGTTGGTGCAAACATGGTGTTCTGGAGAGTTCTTCTCCTGTCTTCCCTTTTCTCTCTTTTCCTTCTTCCTCTCCTCGCTTTGGAAGCTTGGAATCGAGGTAAGGGAAGTTATAACTCAACCCTTAATGAATTTTTGTGTGCATGTTGTTTTAATTCCCTTGAAGTTTATGGTTATGTTGCTCAAATCGAATTGGGTGGCAAGGGGATTTAGGAATTTGGGGTTTTGTTGTTCATGATGAAAAGTTGAGAAATTGATGATTTTCTTGAAGTGTTGATGCATGTGTATTTTCCTTTGATTTATAAGTTGTATGTCGTTAGAATTTGAAGATTTTGGGGTTGGATGCATGAATTTTTGTATAAGTTGGGAGGATTTGGAGGTTGGGTGGTGTTCATGGTTGTTGGAGATGTTCTTCATTGATGTTGAAAATTTTGAGTTCTGAGACTGAGCATAGATTTTCATGCTCAACGTGAGAATTGAAAAATGCCTTTAGAAAACTGAGGATGAGCGTGAGAGGTGGATGTGCCTCTAGGTGACTAAGGCTAAGCATGAATTTTCACACTCAACATGAGAACTAGGAAGTGCCTTTAGAAGGATGAGACTAAGCGTGAGAGATGGAGTGCCTCTAGGTGGCCAAGGCTAAGTGTGAGTTTCACACTTAGCATGATAGGGTGGATGTGCCTCTAGTGGCTAAGGGTTAGTGTGAGATTTCTCACTTAGTAAAAACTTGAAAATTTTCTTATATAACTCTCTGGAAACCTACGGCTCAGCATGGAAAATTAGTCAAATTTTTATTCTAAAATTGAGTTGGTTGTTTGCTTGATGGATGAATTAGGTGATAAACACTTGTTATTAAAGTTGTTTTATAGAATGACGACAATAAGCATTGGTATGCTATATTTGTATGGTTAAAATGGTGATGAGCATTGATATGCATTGTATGATTGATATGTTATGAGTTGCATGATTGGACTATTAACTAAGCACTAGTATGCTATTATTGAATGAATAGTTGAGCATTGGTATGTTATATTTGGATGAATTGTTAAGCATTGATATGTTATTCTTGATTGAGGTGTTGAGCATTGATTTGCTATTATTAGTTGATATTGAGCATTGGTATGTTATACATGATTGTGTGGTTGATCTCTATATGCATTAGCTTGGGATAATGTGTATAAAAGTTGTATGTCGAGGTGTTGACATTAAGAATGTTGCGGACATTAAAACATGTTGATAGACTCATGACTAGAAGATAAAATGTTGTTTAGAAAGTTGAATATCCTATACAATGAATCTTATTTTGACCCTCTAAAAGGCCAGTTATTGAAAATCCTCATTGAGTAGGTGTGAAAGTCTTGGATGGATTATATTAAATATTCTATAGGTCCTTAACTAATTACTAGAAAGGTTGTGTGATTTCTTGCAAATAATTAGTAGTCTAACTCCATATGTGACTTGGTAATGCATGTCAAGGTTATGGTATGCTTATACCTAATTATATTATTCCTAACTATGGAATTGAACTTTCCTAGTGTCAGTGGCGACACCCAAAAAATCTGAGGATGGATTGATATCTCGTTTTAGTTATGGGTCCAACAGGCACATATGGCGTGAAAGCGATCAGGGTTGATTCGATAGAGTCAAGTCACTTAAACTGCTCAATTGTAATAGGAGATATTTATAGGTGAATGGGTGACAACACATTAGTTGAGGTGGATGCATATGATGTGTCGTTGATTGGTGTGTTCATATGCATTGGTTGCACATCTTATTATATGATAATTATTTGATGTGAGTTTGACTGTTTGGTGTGTAGCTTTCAAACTGGTAGTTGTTTTAAGGATTGTTGCATGATTTGAACCTTGTGGTGTTGTTGATTTTAAGGTTTACATGTGGTGAGTAATATAAATATTCTATTGGTATACTTGTGTGTTTTTAAATCTAACTTATCGTTGAGTGTTTTCCATGAGATATGAACTATGATGACCATGGTTTTCATGAGAACAGAACAAAGTTAGTTGGAGAGATCTAGAGAAGTTGTTGGTGGGCCATGTATTGATTGGCGATGTAGTTGATGACTATTTATGTAGTTGTACAATTGTGCTTGACTAGCACCATTAGGTCATATAATTTTCTCTTTTCGATTACTATATATGTGTATTTATACACTTATTTTATACTTGCAAAATTAATTTCTGTTTTACACACACATAAATACATGTGTGAGTATTGCTTATCATGTTAGAAGTAAATGTATGACCTTTAATATGTTCGTAGTTCTGTTACTATTTGAGGATTGCACAAAGTGAAGCTGCCATGCAGATTGTTACACTCTCACAAAATAATAATGTTCAATATATAAAGTTTTTTTTTTAAATTATGAAAAATTTATTTATAAATAAATATATTAAATAAATTTTGAAATAGATAAGAGTTAAAAAAATTTCTAAAAACTCTCTTACCGAAGAAAAGTTCCCAAAGACAATCTCACATGAGAAAGACATTTATGTTTAATAATAAGAGTTGATTTTTCTTATATATGAAAAAAGTAAATAGATTTTTAATGTTGAAATTACATCATTCAATAATCAAAATATAATTTAATACAAAAAATTAAAATAAAGTAGAAATGAAAATAAATATATAATTTTCAAAAAAAAAATCATATATATCATACATAGTTTGAAATAAAATGAATAAATAAAAGTAAAGTTATTACGTAAAATAAAACTTGCTAGCAGAAAAAAAAATATTCTATGAAGATTGAATATATGACCATTAGTCTAATTTCACTCTAGTAACCGTTAGTTGTTGGACTGAATTCTCGATGAATTTAGTGCTAACAGCAAATTATAAAACCGTTTAATAAGCTCAATTCTTTAAATAAAAACGTGTAAATTCACTTTTTAAAAAAATAAATAAGCTTATTCTTTTTATAATAAATACACTCACTTGAATTTATTTATAAATTAGTATAAATAATTTTTGAATCAACGTAAATATAATTTAATTTTTCGTGAAAGGTGTACTCAATAAACATGTGTCTTTTTTGTTTGCATTAAAAATCATTTTAGCCCTTAAAAGTATAAACATATTAGCCTCTGAAATTTAAAAAAAAAAAAATGTCAAATACATTTTCAAAATATCAAATAAATAATTAAACTTTAGCACTTATTTTTATTTTTATTTTAGACAAATGTAATCATCAATTTTTAATTGAGAAACTTGTTTTTGCGACACTTAATTGAAATTTTGTTAGTTCTATATATTATTATTATTATGACGCTTTTAAAATTCAAGACCCAAAATAATCGTTTACACTATTTTTGTTTCACTCCAACAAATAACGCATTTATCATCTTTTATTTATTTATTTACTTTACTTTAATAATTTATCATAATCTTTATTTCTGGTCATAGCACTTACCCTCTATTCATAAATATAGCTTGTTGATGGGGCTCCCAAAATTCTTTTGTTACTCTAGGTACTTTTAAGGGAATCAGAGAAAATAACGGTTTTATAGTGAAAGAAAAATCATTATTTTGAAAGTAATTTTGATGTGAGTGTAATACTTGAAACAAGATCATTTCCAAAATGCACCATACTTTGTAGTTTGTATGCTACTAGAATGAACTTTTGCTTTTTAGACTCAAAACTTCGATTCTTAATTTTACTCTTAAATTCTATGTTTCCTATTGATGCTATTGTTGTTGTGTTACATTAACCCAAATCAAATGTAAAGTAGTGAAAAATAAGGCAACAGAAGTCGATCGACTAAGTAAAGACAATAAAGTAATAAACTAGTAATTGTACCAATAATATTGTTACATTTGTAGTTACCTTCTACAAATACCGAAAAAATTATGATCAACAATGAGACATCATACTCAAGACTTTGTGATTCTCCTTACTTTTATGCAAACCAAGACTTTGCAGGGAGCCGTTACATTCATTCTGGAAGCGATTCTGCACATTGCAACGGAGACAAAATGGAGAGTGGGAACCAATATCGGCACAACACATTAAGAGGTAACTACCCTCAATTAAAGTTCACAACTTTAGGACCCTTCTTCTTTGGTTTTACATGGCCATCTGTTGACTTTGCTGACTTTTTCTTGTCTGCACTATGCATGTCATCTGCCATGAAGTCATCTTCAATATCATCCCCGCTGATAAATTTGGTAACCTGACCACAGGGTCTTACTTCTGTTCTCATCGCTGAAAGAAAGAATAGTTATCACTTATCAACCATATTTGAGATAAGCAGCCTTCTTCAATATGACTATGAATGCTTAGCAATCCAATTCAGAAAGAGCTCAGGCTGAGCACAGATTACTCCAAAAATGTCAGTTCATTTTCAATTTTTATGTTGAACAATTTGTTTCTTAAAAATATATTTCAACCTACAGTCAAACATATTACTATCCTTGCCACGACAATGTTTGTACATGGGTGAAATCTAATACAAGGATTGTAACAAAGACAATGATCACTTTTAATCAGCACACTACAGTTAATTTACATAAAATAAATCAAAATCAACATCCAACAATACATGTTTCAATTTTCAAGCCTACCCTAATATCCTATATATAAAGAATATATTTAATACTGGTGATGTGCAATAATCAAGCATAATCATGCAGTCTACCACCAACAAACTTGTGTAATCTCAAACTCAAATATGAATAGTTATCCAATTTGATTAGCCACTTCATGATACCCCAGAGAGTAGACAATATCTATTTGAGAACCAAAATAATAGATTTCAGAGCAAAAATATCACTAATTTTGGAGAAGCAGTCACATTGCTACTATTCTAATTTATCCTAACATGGCATAGTACCAAAAATAATGCACTTTCACTACTTGCAATTACTTGACATTACCAAAAATAGCAGCAAACAGGACTAGCATCAGCCATTTCCAGAGAGGTAAATAAATGAAACATGGATATCAAGCAAATTAAACAAAAACGCAGCAACTTGATATCAAATCCAGAAATATAGTTGTAGAAAATTCATTCAGCTTCTTCCTATAAAACTTACATCCATCAAAAGGCCCATTAGCAGCAACAAATCCTTTCTTCCCTTTGTCTGGACAATCCCTTGCCAAATGTGTCACACCACCACATATTTTACAAGAACCACCCTAGTATACATAAACATTTATAACAGATTAGACACACTCTACAGGGGTCGAGTTTCTTTTATTCAACTAATATTATTATAGTTGACAACATATTCCGTTAAAGATAATAATAATACCTTTGGATAAATGCCATGAGTATTTTGAGGACAGTTTTTACTCAAGTGTCCACGTTGATTACAGACAAAGCACTCAGCAAACTTTGTCCCTCCTGCATTACCAATGAAACACTTTATGTCATGAGAAAAGTGATTAAATAACCCATAAGCACTCCATCAAAATCAAATTTTAGAATGTCAAGGAAGACCATAAAATCCCCAACCATTATGAGGTATATTTACATGCTTAAATATAGTAGAGAAGCCAGTAATTACATTATTGTCAAAAAAGAATAATTATAAGAATTTTAGAACCAACATCGACTAAAGAGCACTCTAATTTATAATACTTTACCAATGCCAAATCCCATGATTTGCCACAAAAATTCATGTATTTCATTCACAAAAAAGGAGCTAATCTAACCAGCTGCAAAGATATACATTTATACACTAAGCAACAAGAGCATAAATTCTTCACAGAATTTATCGTAAAACATAGCTTTCATATAATGAATTTTACTAGGAGACCAAAATAGAGAAGCCATATTGTCCTATTATACAGGGAGAAAAAATGCCATGGCTTGGCTTGCTTAGTTTGAAAAGACATTTTCTGTTTTTATTTCCTGCTTTGACAATAATTACAAAAAATAGCACCTTATTTTGATTTTGTTTATTGTTTTACAAGACACAGTGACACAACAAAATCATGGTTTTACTATTTTTCCTACACAAATCTGTGATAACAGGAAACAAAATGAAAATAAAGTGATATTTTGTAATTATTTGTGAAAATAAGAAATTAAAAAGACGACATCTTTCTCCAAAACCAAACAGGTATTACCTACTAAGTAAACTCCAATTGTCAAGAGAGTAAAAATTAACAGAAATCTATATTTTCTATTTTACATTATGCACATCTTTTTCTTTTTCTTTTTTAATGACATTGAGCATTTGACACTTGACAGTTATTTTTTCAGTCGTTGAAGTTAATATAAGAAAATAAATGCATAAACATATTCTCAACTAAATCTTTAAGAATAAACATGCAAATCCCAAACCAGTACGTTAAAATCCCATATTAAACTTGACTTTTTGAGACCCAGAAATAAGTCATACTAAGGTACATGAATGATAATATCCACATCACACTTGCCTATAATAAATGGCTAAAAGTTACAACTTACTATACAGTACACAGTGAGCTTTTGATGCAAATATTTCACCGCATAATCATGTTATCAGTGTTCATGTAAACTAAACAGTAAACAATAAACATGTATGATTGCAGATTGCATGTATCATACAATCTATGAAACAGGTCTACAGATTAAATCACGGCACGGCACCGTTTAATTGTAAGCCTATTAAACAAAAAAATTATATGTTGACAAAGCAAACCTTGTTCAAGAGGGTGCGGACATTGTGAGAGAGAGTGACCAGTTTCCCCGCAATTATAACAATACTTGCCATCATTGGCGGCATCTTGCACCGCAGGGCAATTCTTAGCCCTGTGACCGCGTCGTCGACACCGCAAACAAATCTGCAAAGACCACACCAGCAAACTAGGTAAACATGATTAACAATTAAATGAATCGATGTTTGCGAAAATGCGGGCATAATGAGACCTTGTTTTTCTCCCATTCGGCTTTTTGGGGACAGAGCTTGGCGATGTGGTCAACGGCCTTGCAGATGAAACAGGTATCGCCGGGCTTCATGCCGGGGACTCGGAGAAGGCGTTTCCTGGAGCCGGGCTTTGAGTCGGGCCTTTTGCGCTTGAAGGCGCTGTTTTTCTTCTTCTTTTTCTTGTCAGGGTCTTTTGGGGGCGTGGGCTCGGGCTTTGGAAAGAGCTCGGGGTGCTCTGCTTTGAATCGCTTACGAGCGAGTCGCTGCCTTTGGCTAACCATCACTGTCTCTCTCGCCGCAGCTACTACCACTCTTCAATGTTTGCTTGCTTGCTAGCGGCGGTGGTGCAAATCCGAAGGGTTTTCTTCTTCCCACGTTTTCGTTTATTTATTTATTTATTTATTTTACTCAAATAATTTTTTTTTTGTCTTTTATAATATTTAATTCATAATTTTGATTTCTCAATATTTTAATTTTTTATTTTAAATAATAATTTAATTTATAAAATTTATAATTTTAATTTGCTAATTAGATATTTATTTGTTAATTTTAAACTATTGTAACGTTAATCTTACTTGATATGATATATTAAAATTAAATTATATTTTAACTCTTATTTAATTTATTTTTATCTTCTATTATTACTTTTAAAAAATAAAATTAGAGTTTAAATGTAATTTAATATAATTTTATTTGGTACATGTGAAGAAAAATGACAACAAAAACAAATAAAAAAATGAGCATTTAGCCAACCTGGCCAACAGTTAATTCCGTTTAAATAATTTAGACAGAAATCTGACATTGCACTAATTTAAATTATTAAGGATCAAATTGAAACAAAAAATTAAAGTGGGACTAAATTGAAACAAAAAAGATATTATAAGGGACCAAATTAAGTTTTTAACTTTTTTATTTTATCCATAAAAATTGATTTTGATACAAAGAAATTTACCGACATTCATCTTGCTCAATTAACCAAATTAGACTACATTAGTTATTCTTTATAGTTTTTAAAACGATTAGACTTAATTGTGTTTTTGATCCCTCAAGTATTGTAATTGTGCAATTTTGATCCTCAAGATTTTAATTGAGTAATTTTAGTTCTTAAAAGACTGTAATTGTGTGATTTTAGTCTTACCCCAGCACCAATGTGGGTTGGCTATGTACCCTTCACTATAGTCCCAGACAAACACTGCAACATGGTAGTTGAATCGGGATACAAATAGTGTATCGGAAAGCTTATATTTTGAATCGTGAATCGAATCGTATCGTGAATCGTAAGATTCATGATCAATAAAAACATATATATATATATATATAAACAAATATAAAAAAAATAAAATCATACATTAATATATAGTTAATAATATATAAACATATTCTTATTTATTTATTTTTACATATATATATAAATATTAAATAATTTATAATACATATAATTAATAATATACATATAAAAATAGAAACATAACTTAATTTATACATTAAATAATTTCAATAATTAAAATTTATAGTAGTTAAACAAAATAATAAAAAAATTAAGAAAACAAAATATTTAAGGTTTTATATTAAATTTTTTATTACTTAAAATATTATCTGAATTATAATAATAATTAATAATAAAGAGAAGTTACCTTCTTAAAAAAAAAATAGTGAAGGCCAAATCAAAAGATAAAATAAAATTTGGGCCCATTTGGCCCAACTTTTCTTTGAAGAAGACAGGTTGCATATGCTGGAGATGACAGAGTCACCGCCGGAGGAGACACAGTCGCTGTCAGAGAAGATAGATCGACGGAGATTCGTCGGAGAAGAAGACAGATCGGTGGAGGATCGGCACTTTCCCTCTCTTTTCTGCATTTTTTTTAGGGTTTCCAGAATCAGGTCGCGCGTGACTCGATCCAGTTTCGAGGCGTGACCCGCTGTTTCGAAATCGTGCGATTTCGTCCAGAATCGCGATTTTTCCGATTCACGCAACGATACGCACGATTCACATGCGATTCTTAATCAAAAACGAGACAACTTGCGATTCGTATCGCGGAAGCTCGGAATCGTATCGTATCGTACGATACGAATAGCGATACATCCGATACTTACTACCATGCTC